ATCAGAGCTGCGTTCTGCATTTTAAAGGATTTTCAACAGAATCTACATAAATTTTTTTCAAGAAACAGTTTGAAAAGCAAAGAAAGTTTTGCTATTTGCTATTTATCTATTTTGCTAATTTTTCCAGTCACACAAAACAGTCTTGACATTGAACATCACTGGACCTCAATAATACACGTGACGATTTGAGGATCTTCATAGAAAGAGACGCTAAAATTTGTTGTTTTGTTAAATAATGTTGCTTTGTGTAATACATGTTGTAATACATGGTTCTGCCAAATGAATTGTTAGTTTTGATGCTGTACTTTTTATTCATACTATTGTTCAAATAAACACTCTAAATTAGTTAATCTCTGAATAGGAGTTCTGTAAATAATTTCAAATCTAAACTTTTACTCTACTCTGGAAGCACGCTAAAAGGAATTCATTATCTTAAATTTTTCAAAAAATACGTGAGAATTTTTTGGTAGCAAAATGGCTCGATAGTTTGAAAAGCTGTGTTCCAGCCCCGAACCTCACTTCTTATAGAATGTAGTCGTGTATCTCCTTCAAATACAACGCCATCATATACGCTCTGCATTCTAAAGTGATTTCCGACAAAACGCTACGTAATGCAGATCCCCCTTTCTTCATATAAATTGCTCGTGCATCTTTTATAGAGTTCCTTCTTTCGCGTGGTGCCTATGAGCAAGTATGCGTTTCCATTTGTAAAAATTCATCCCACACGCTTGATCACGCCCTTACAGATTTCCTTTCGTATTTGGTTACTTACTTACTACATACATATTTACATACTTTATGAATAAGCATTTACGTTGGAAATATGTATTATGCTTAGATTAATCTTAGGAAACTGTATTTGCCTAGCATTAGCTTAATTGATCTTCTGAGTGGTATGGAAATGGAACATCAAAAAATGTCATAAAAACCAAGGAAATTTTTCAAGGACTTTTATTATCAAATTACATCATTTTCGAAATTGAGACAGAATTCATGAATGTGGTTTCTGTTAATTGAATTTTTCTTGATAATGTATAGCATTACAAAGATTGATACTTGTGTCCACAAAGCAGTCAAGCTACTGAAAGAGCTTTTTTATATTATCGAATTAACGCGTCAAAATCAATTATTCTCAATTATTTGGTTTTTGGCCTAATTCTTCATATAGCTTAGTAAAAACATTGAATGATTGAATATCTTTCATTTTATTTCTATTTTAAAACGATAGTTTTTCTCAAAAGATTTTTTGGTTAAACCAGAAAGAGATAATTGCAACTTTGATTCACATTTGCACTACTTAAAACGATGGACACGAAGAAAAGGGTGTAAAAATTCTTGCCAGCCTTTGATATACGAAAACTGCTTCATGCTTGTAGCTGTGCAAAATTATATTTAGGATGATTTTTAACTGAAACAAATTTTGGATCTATCTCTTAAGGATGGAAAACAAATTAAGAGACATTCATTCAATGATTAATTTGGTATTGGTAATGAGAAAAAGGTATGCTCACAGGTCGGAAGAATCTTCATGTAAAGCAAGTAGCATGTCAAAAATATTTCACAGTCAAAATAGTACATGCCTAATTAACAGAGTGGCGTGGGGGCCACTTCCCAGTGGGTTGGGCAAATCTTGTACGGCGCCTCTTCTCTATTGATACCAACGCCCATGTATGCCACGCAAAATGGGACAAAAGTTTATTATACAAAATACATTATGTGATTGTAAATATGCTATGTGTAAAGCGAGACAAATTTGGCGGCTTATGTATTTGCAAAAAGCGGCTTAGAGCTTATATATCTGAAATATCCGAAAACAATTTATAAATGTAAAATGCACACTCCATAAGTTTGAAGATTTAACGTCGATATGAATTGTACAGCATTTATGTTAGATGTTAACAATATGTTTACAATCATATCATATATTTTGCATAATCAGTGGTGGAAATTCATTTTTCAAGGGGGGGGGGTTCAACGCCCACAAAAGCAAGCAAATTTGCCGACAAGTGACATAATTTTATCGACAAGACCGACAATTGACCAAAACCTGGGGGGGGCATTCGCCACACTCCCGCAATTTCTGCCACTGTGCATAATAGACTTTTGGCCCATATGACAGAGCATACCCATGGTCATAATTTAAAAAACTAGGCGTTGTTTTGGATCTGGATCCAAGAAACAAGAGGGAATTCTCTAAGCTGCTAATGCAGAAGCTGCCTTCATTTAATGGTTGGATTTGTAGACTTTGCAATTTTTGAGAGTTCCATTTCAAATGCATTAATTACCTCATTCATTTCAAATGTATTAATTACCTCATCTTCATTTTGAGACAGCAAAATCTTCCGTTCAGTCATCATAACAAGTAATGCACCATTGTTGAGAATTCTTGTCTTAACTCTTTTCAAAGCAGAAAACGAGCTAATAGGGATAGTCACTGCAGTTGCAAAAGCTTGGAACAATGTTAGGATATGCATCAGTAGGATGCTAACCTGCATCAGTAAGATAATAGTTTCAAGGCATCGGTGAAGGATGGATTTTGTTGTTGTTGTTACTTTATTTTGACGTTGTTGTTTTGAGTTATGAGAGCCTACGATTTTTTCTTTCTGCTTGACTTTTACGAACTACCATTCGTGAATTTTGCAACATACGGAGCTTGCCCACCAAAACTGGTTTTATTTAGTGATTCCCTCAGACTTTGTTTTTCTGGTTTGACAATATTTTGAAAAGGAAAGCTGCAGCCAACTTTAACTCATTTTTAATTAGAATTTAGATTGTAACGTCACACACAGTTTCAAAGACCCTCTGTATAGAAACATTTAAAACACTGAATCATTTGAATCAACCTTTTATGCAGAGCATTTACGAATTACGCTCTTCAAATTACTTTTTGAGAAATCCAAACAATTTGATCCAGTTTAGGCCTAATCAAACACCTTTTGGGACAAAAAGTCTTAAATCCATTGGACCACAGATTTGGAATGGTTTACTTAGTGAACTAAAATCAGCAGAAAATCTGAAAAGTTTTAAGATTTTGATAAAAATGGGATGGTCCCAACTGCAGATAAAGTGCCTGTACCTGCCTACCAACTCAGAAATTTAACTCAGATCCTAGAATTTGTAAATTTAGAAAATATTTTATATTTGCTTTGTACATTCGATTTTGATTGGTTAACTTGTATATATTTAAATAATGTATATATTGTTAGCTATTTTTGTATATCGAATGATAATAAAGTAACAAAACACACACAGTCTGCTAGCAAGGTCCAATTAAAAGAAGCGATGAAAAAGAATTTGAGGGCCTAAATGATCTTGATAATGAAGCCAAGAAACTTTCGATGATGCTTGCAACAAAAAATAAAAAAGGAAACTAATAACAAAACAGGAACTAGAAGCAAGAATGATGATATCCACCAAGTCCCGATATTATTTCAAACCCATAACCAGAAAAGCTGACTTCGCGGGCTTTTTAAAATACAAAATCAGAACAGGCATCCGAGGCAATAGCCTCATTTTTTAAAGCCCCGTTAAATAGCTCTCAACATTGCACTGAACAGCGCTCAACATTTGTAGAGTGCAAATGTTGAGAGCGTTTTAACACCCTGTTCAGTGATGTTGAGTTGTGTTTAGTGGTGTTCAGCGATGTTGAGTGGAGTTTGAACAGATTCAAAAATATTCAGCGGGTCGACTCAAAATTTTTATTGTTAATAGTGTTGTTGAGAGATGTTGAGAGCGTTATAACACCCCATACAACAACGTTCAGCCGGCGCAAGCGCACTAGACTTGGATTTTGCGCGCCAAAGAAAGGCTTCAACGAGTCAAGATCTCAGATCAGATCAAGAGGTTGAGAGAAGTTGAGTTTTATAAATTGTAATGGCACACCATGACAAACGCTTGGAAACAGTTGGCAGTGAAAGCAAATCGGATGAGATAGCAATTCAGAGCAAGTTGCAAGACCAAATTCCTGACCTTAGGGAATCATCAGGCAGCTACTGTTAAAGCGAAAGAGTATCCGAAGTGCATCTTCCAAAACACCATACCTAAACAGCGGATTCCCTTGTCTTGGATCTCTGAGTGTCAGAAGTTCATCGCTCAACGAATGTTGAGCCGAATTTTACAAATGTTGAGCAATGTTCAGTGAAATGTTTGGGAGCGTTTTAACTGGGCTTTAAGAAGTCGAATGTCAAGTCGGGTCTAGTAAAAAATCGAGAGCCTTTGGCCACTCTTACTACATTGCTTGATCATTGACAAACATTGTCGACTAAAACGTCTGGCGTTTGGCGGGGGCCTTAGTCAATTTGACACCCCACTGCGGCTTTGCCATCCCCTCCAAAATTCTAATTGGGGGCGGGGCCTCCTGGCTCCCGGCCACCAAGCCTCTGCTAATTAGTAGAAAAAGACTGGTTATCGATACTTTTTCCAGCAGAAAAAATAACTTCTGTTGATTAAGTGGAGATTCCACGACACATTTTAAGAAGAAGGATCATGTCAGAGCCTAGTTAGAGATGCCTGGATTAGAAAAATATTTTGAAGCCCATATTTGCAGTAAGTAAGCAATACCTCCACAAGAAATGCGGTGAAACCCAGTATAAATGCTTCTAATAGAGTTAATCTAAAGGACTTTGCTTAAATCTACGTATGTCAATACAGTAAGGATGAGTATGTTTTTTCGAAATTGATCCCTTCCCCGAATGGAAGGGGGCTGTTCTGATCTGACCAAAAACGAGTATTATTTGTTCTGCAAGATGCCTTAACGTTTGCTCGGGCGTTGAAAAAGGATTGGCATCTTTCGGTGACTCTAGGGATTTGATTGAGGCAGTCATTATTGATCTAAACTTTGGGCGAACCGCTTGGTGCGCATCCCTTTCATATTTGTGTTTCTGCAAAATTCGATGAATTCGATGTCATTGTTTTGATCATTTGATTTATTGTCACGTGAGCGAAAACAAAAGGGATCAAGAGGAATAATGCGAGATGTGAGCAATAAGCGAAGTCTGCGCGGATTTGGTTAGATACCTTAAACCGCAGGTTAGCTGCGAATCATTCCATATGACTGAACATACCTTGCGTATTAACTAAATGCTAAAACAAATTTGGATATACAAGTAGCAGGCGAAGCCACGTTTGATGTTCGATGTCACGGATGGTTTCTGTAAGTTGAACAACTCTCTGTGGGTGCTCAAGGTGAAGGGATTCTTTTATCCTGCACTTATTTGACTGATAAAAAAAGCAATTACAGTGAAGAAAACCTGATTCTTTTCATGTAAATGAGAGAGACAAAGACACCGCTGGATTGTTCAGAGGAAACAGGGAGATAATGACTTGTTCTGCATCAATCATGGCTTGGTTGTACGGGCAGAGAAGGGCTTCGTAGATCGATCCTTGTTTGCGATTAACTTTAAGTCAATTGTTTCGCGTTTTATATTGCAAAATTACACCGAGAGCTTGGGATACAGTAGCCGGCGATGGTGCGTTGTTTATCTTTCGATTCCGATATCAAATTCTTTTTAGTTATGGTCTGTGGTTTATGAGGCGAACTCCGCATACCACTGACGCTGCGTGAAAAAGATTCTGGCTTCGTAATTTTCAGTCACTGAATGGAATTATTTGCGTGGAAATTGTGATGTAGTTTGATTGATCAAAACGAGCACGATTGGCAATCTTGGTTTTCCCGATGGTTATTCCTTATTCAAACTTAATGATTAAGGGTCGAGTCGATAAGCAGCGGTGTAAACCTCCTGAATGTACAGGAATTTGTATCGACCATAATTCAAACCCAATGTCGGAAAGCGGGCAGAGTGAAGCTAAATCTCTGCATTTTGATAACAAGTTATTTGCTTCGAATGGCGAAGCAGCTAGAGAATTTTTACGAGTACCTTTGGATGGAATTGCTGGAGATAGTAACTCGGGATCACTAACAGATGGCAGAGATGAGCTGAACATAAAAAGGAGCTCAACGAATTCCAAAGACTTCACCGCTGAACAAGATAATCACAAAATCATTGGTAATAGTAATCGGGAATCTAGTTGCAGTGTTGAAAGTAGTGGAAGCAACATTTTGGAACCGAAACTTGTTCCAGGTGAAAATTACATGAGTGGAAATAAGCACAGTAAATCGAAACAGTTAATGAAATTAACAAGAGGCCTGAAATTTTCGAAAGGATCGCAAAATGCTGCAAATCAAGGGCAGTCTTCGCCATCAAACGAAAACGAAAATAAGGATTCGAAAATGGGAGTTTCGTTAGGGATTTCAAAAAGCAAAAAAATTTCGGTTAGTGGACCACCAGGCAAAAAGCCACAGGAGTCGAAAGTTCGCCTCTTTAATCGAAAACGACGTAACAGGAATAAGCTTGTTGCAAATGCTGGAAATTCACTTTGGAGACCTTTGGTAAGTATTATTCAGTTAAAACTTATTTACAGGGTATGTTTGTTAAGTCAGAAAACCGAATTGGAGTTACTGAGCTCTAGGTTTTACAGAAATTTTATTAAACCAACTCCTTTTCAATTAAGTAAGGCATTTTGAACAAGCACTTTAATTTCACCACCAGGTCAATCTTCTAACTGCGTTTTCATACTAATCTCTGCCCGTATTGAGCTGAAAATTTACGCTTAATGGTTTATGGGAATGAAAAATTTGAACTATGCGGTAAGTTTCTGCTATGCGAGCTATAAAAAATTAATCCTTCTATCTTGGAATAAATCCATGCTCCTCAGAAAAATTTCGTCATAATATTGTCACAAGGCGAGTTGCGTATCTGTTCTTGACACTTTAAAAAGCAAAAGGCTTTGTACTGCGATACACTTAGCAATTAATCTGTTTTTGACTGAAAATGGAAACAGTATTTCTTTACACAGTACAATTTCTGTGCATGAGCATTCCAAAGATATAATACATACATAAATGTTTACGAGTTCTAGTGTTTTGTTGTAATAGGAATTATTAGTCAGTTTATGAACAAACAACAAGGTTTACGAAACATCTTGCACTGCTTTAATGGTAGATTACAATAGAAACTACTGGCGAATTTTCACATCACAGATAATGTTTACTTTAAAAACAGTAATTTGTAGGTCAGCCACCATATACAGAGTACTGCACTTTTCATGTTGTTCTGGTCCCAACGGAACGAGTGGCCATGCGCCAGGTTTTTGCGCAACCTGCTCTGCGCATGTTTAAATCTTCTCTTTGTGGATGCGTCCTCAAACCCCGGATCTTCGTTGGCCTTTGTAAACCCTTTATTTATTGAATATAAAGCAACCAACGGATGGTTTTACATTGAAAAATGTTTAGTCTGTTTGATAGCTGAACATGAATCACAAAGGCTATGATCATGATTGTTTATGGTGAACTTTCGCTTAAAATCTAGATTTTCATCATTTCTTCATTGATAATAATCAATTTTATACTAAAATTCTAATAAGAGAACCTTGCAGAAAATCTACTTTAAACTTTAACCTGCCTACAAACATCTGGTAATCTATCTTATAAACTATTAGAGTTTTTCATGAATGTTGGGTTTGCATTCCAAATTGTCTTCATGTCAAACCACAAGATTTATCAAAGCCTTCTAAAGCCTGATGAAATCAGAGCGTGTTTCGGACTTATTTATTCATTTTAATGAGCAAAAAGACTTTTCAGTTTGTCCGGAATCAATAAGTAGTGAAGAAACTTGCACAGTGAAGGCACTAAGCCAAAAAGGATAGGGCCAAAACTGCGAAGAAAGATTATCGTTGCCATTCACAGGCCCAATCAAGACAAGACTTTCCGATTCCCTTCAAAAACTGTTTAAGATGATTATCTTTTCAGTCAACAAAAAATTCATTATATTTTGATAAAAAAATTTCCACTTGTTTTAAACCTTTCACTTGGTGATAAACATGTTCAAGCTTTCGAATTTTGAAAAGTCACCCCTAAGTGCCCAAAAGACTGATTTATACTCAGATTTCAAGTGGGTTCAAAACAGATTTATAAAGCTATTAATGCTTGTGAAATCCATGCCCTTGCCGTCACGGTGTTCTTCCTTGTCGACACAGAACATGGTCAGTCACACATGGCTTTGGAACATTACACCGACCACAGATTCAATGCCCACAACAGATCTGCGCGTTTTCTTGCACTGTTGCACATCCAGAGGAGATCCCCTCCATTTCCGGGATTAAGTCGCTAGACTAGATTTCAGCCAATCAATGGCCTCCTCACGGACATCGTATTTAGCTTTGATTCAAAAGAAGAGTATTGGCTGTGAAAAAACTTGTGCTCGCATTGCTGAATCTATTTCCTCAGATTTAGAGGACCAAAGAAGAGAGAATAATTGATTCAAAGATGATAAATAATATCTATTTTTAGGTTTTTAATCATAAAGGAATGCGATTTTTCATGTTGATATTTTAATGGTTGGTAGATAGAGCCTTTTTCATAAGCATCAGCGTTATTATTATCATTATTATTATTATTAGCGTAACTGCACCAGTGGGGTATGGTTGCCTTTTTGGGTTGAATCGACCATCAAATAGTGCCCAATCTACCTCAAAAATTATTCACTCACACGAAATGAAAGCATCTTGAAAACTGCTTATTTCCTATTCATATAGTTTGCAATCGTTCTGACAACACTATTTAGTTAAGCAGCGAGTATTATCTAGCCACTACACATCTGAATAAAAGGAACACCAACACATTAAAACTTAATGCAGCTTGGTTTGGGTTTAAATCTTTGTTCAATGACTGCCTTCCTTGAAAAGAATTCTTCAAACACCAGAAAAGAGAACATTTACATTTGCTTAAATTAAAAATAAGAAATTTGAACGATTATTCCTCCCTTTTTGGATTCAACAGTAATGCAAAAATGTTCGTTATACTTTTGTTGTTTGATTTGAAAACATTGCTTCAGATACTTAAATGCCCTGGGCAGTTTCAATTCACCTAATGATCTGCTATAAACTACAAAGACATCAATATCCTTTAAGCTTTTTACTGGCTATTATGCCAGGTTACCGTTTTGAAAATCTGAAATGCGACTGAAGCTTCTATACTGTTCTCAACATATTTCAATCAAACAGTCATCAGTGTAGCTTTATTTTTTACATACAAAGTTCCAGTGCAGCCACAAGATTTTCCTCTGAGGAGGAGCCAGCAAAGCTGATTGTCCTCCAAGATTAATTCAAAAAGATACGATATTTTACGATACATAACGAGATCAAGACCTGTCGCTTGTTTTATCGACCGCAAATCAAGGATCGTAACAGCATTAGAAATTCCCTTTCTGTCGATCGAAATAATCTTCTTTTGGGACAATGATTGTTTCAAAAGGTCATGCCTTATCGCCATTATTGCACACTTTCTACAATAAGCATTTTGGGATGGACGGATGTATCGGTATGTCATTTCATTTAGTGTCCACGATTAACCAAAGTGGATGACATTTGAATCTAAAAGTTATGTATGTTGATTTATGCTTCATTTCGAAGTTTGATCTTAAGATGATTGTAATTTTCATAGAGAAAATTTTAAATGAATTAATCAAAAAGGGAATAAGCAGAACGCTAGACCATCCACTGCGTCGCTTTTTGCATCATGCTGCGTTGGATCGCTCCACGGACAGAAAGCGCCGCACCGCATCAGCGGCGCTGAAACGCATTAGAGTGAGTTAGGATGCACTGCGATAATGCGACATGCTGTAATGCACTAACACTTCACCGCTAGTTAAAAAATCACCTCAATTTTAGAAGCATTCTTACAAGACATTATGCCCTTTAAGAACAGGCAGTAAAATCCAGTTACAATTCACTTTCTATTTGCCGACAATGCAAGGCTTATCCTGCATATGGTCTAAATTATCAACAGCAAAGATTACCCGTGAACCGAACGTCCGCAACGCGCTTCCTGGATTGCTAATTAAACATGGTTCTAACGACCAGATTGAGAGTCAAATTTGATGAATGGACGAGATGATCAGGCAACCCATTTCCCTTGCGTTTCATTTTCTTTCGCGTATAAACAGCGTCCATTCTTATTTGGCGATATCTTTGTTCATAACACAGAAAAAACAAGCCGTTGCATTTCAGGAGAAGCCTTTAATAGGTAATAGGATTGCCTCAGATTGACCTTCAAAACATTTGGTTATGCTTTGTAATGCATCGGGATTTAAACCTGATTTTTACTTAATGCACGTCGTGACAAGAGTTAGAGCTCGCTCGAATTTCACACACAGCTTTGGATATGTAAGGAAATCCGCCACATTTTACAATTTATTTGTAAAATCGAAAGATGCACTGAATTATACGGCATCACCTAACACTCAGAACTGCAAGTATTATGGCTTTTGATATGATGACTGTATACTGTATAATCCTCTATTTAAAATTCTAACAGAGGGACGTCCTTTTCTTTATATCGTCAATAGAGCTTCATTCAAGGGGAATACACGATACCTAATTCTTGCGAGAAGGGGTCTGTTCTGTTAAATTAACTGGCTCTAAATATTTGCCTTTGAAATATGTTCTCTGGTTAAATTTCAATTATCCAATAACATCTATTTCTAATTAAACGCATAGAATCCCAATACTATAAGCCAGCTATAGTATGCTGGAATCAAATCAACCAAGCGCCATTTACTGGAATAATCCAAAGGAAACGTGTGGTCTAAAGGTCAGCCGTCTCTAAAGCCATATATAAACAGATTGTTGCAATAAAATAACTATCCTCTTCCGTGTTTAGGCTTACTTTGGACCATTTTACATAACTCAATACAAATTAGTTAAATTTGAACGTCATGAGATGTTTTGTAAAGCAAAAATATTTCTTAGGAATGTCAAATCAGAACAAGGAAGCAAAAAGGTATAATGTATATGTGGTCATGGGAGACAGGACAGAATTTGTTTACCGTTAATACAATACTTCAGAAAGTCACCAGGCTTGGTGGTTTTGCAAAAATCTCCTAGTGAAATATATACAAGCGCTTTTTACGCGTAGCTCTGATACTTAGAGAAAATTATGTTACGAGCTTCAATATTCTGTTACGAAACTTGTCTAGGACGCGTAAGAATACCGCTCCGTTCTGTAGGGTGCTTCCTTGAAAAGTTATTTTGAAAAGAAACTATTATATTTTTACTTAGTTAGCATTTCAAGCATCATGTGTAGTGTCACATAGAGTTCTTTCACTGTGTGGCTTTGCACGAAAGATGACTGCTGTTGTAGAGTAACCAATTTTTGAAGAGGGGGGAGGGGGCGGGGCAAAATAGGACGTTTATGTTTTTGGGTGTGGTGTAGGCCATCACGAAAATATTTCAGAGGGGTGTCAATGTTTGAAGAGCTATTTTTAATATTAATTTTGAACATGTTGAGGACATATTTCAACACTTCTGCTTTGCACTGTAAACTACGTTGTTTCGTTACCAATCAACAATTTTTTTTTCTGGGTCCCAAATGACTGTCTCGTTACGTTGTGAGTTCTTTTTTCAAATAAAACTAGGACAAAGCAATGAATTAAGTATTATCTTGAACGTGCCCTTGACAAACAAGATTTACAGCTTTGAAACCTCATGTAAGTTCTTGTTTTCCTACTTGTTATCTAAACTGGTATCGAAAAGAAGAGAGTAAGTCCTGGAAAGACTTTGTGCCAACAAAGCTCGTTTTCCTTGCAGGCGAATCCATTTCATTTTTCTTTAACTTTGCAAAGCATATATAGTTTATCTGTTTTTATTTGCGCTCGATATAAATGTTTTCTCTACTTTACATTCGATGTTTAGCCCTATGCACACAATTCAGACCTTTACAACTTTACTAAATACCTAATTGGTAAGTTCTTTCAGTTTCTCATCCTGCAATTCATATATCGCAATTCCTAAATAAATGACCACCTAAAGACAGTTTGCTTTAGAAATCCGAACTGCGATTAGGCCTGTTAGGCTTGTAGTAATCTCTTGCTTTGCGTTTCTGTAAATGTCGCCGTAATTGATTTGCAGACTGATTGCTCATGGATATCAGCAAGCGGCCGAGCTTTCACCTTGAAAAAGACTTCACTTTCAAGTTTGTGCGACGCAGAGCGAGATGCTTTACGGCAAATAGTTATCCAGAAGCTCCAAGACTATCAACTTGGCTGCAATATAAGTCCACCAAAAGGTCAGTATATTCAAAACAGCATTCTCTTCTACACAGTTAACACGTCTGCCTCATTGCAAGTCTTGGAGTGAAGGAAGTAACAGTATTAAGCACAAAGAGCTATCAAGATCTTCGGATCTAAGGCTGTTTGTAACCGTATGTCATGCTGGCATTGGCAAGGCATATTTTCTTGAAGCTTTTATTAAATTTTGATGTCAGCATTCTTCTAATTACGCTAATTACAGCACAGAAAGAGAGGCAGTGGTTGACATCAAGTTCTTTTCCATGAACTTTCCTGTAGATGTTAAAAGCTGCTTTATGCTGTATAATTGGCAGGATGCAAACACCAAAGCTAATTTTTGTCAAGAAAGCTTAAGAAGGGGAACGCCCTGTATAAAGTTCACAAAAAGCTCTGTGTAAAACGTCCAGAAGCACGGGCATTGTTAGCCTTTTCTTTATTACAAGATTCGCAATCATTTCTACACATGTTGACGAAAAGGAGTATCAGAGAATTCTGTTCTACATTTTGGAATAAACAAACACCACATTTTTGTAAAATGGAAATGAAATCGTAAATTCGGCTTTGCCTTGTACCAAAACCATTTCTCCAAAAGAAATTATGGCCTAAGGATTGTTGTCATGAGAATTATTGTTATATCCCACATTTGCTTTAAAGACAACCAAATCGCATGCTACAATTTTGTCAGTGATAACGCTAAGATATGAAAACGGAAATTGATATAAATCAAAATCAGTATTAAAAAGAATCACCACAATCAACATTTGTTAAAGACATTCTCGCAAATTACACCCAATTGGGTAAAACAATAAGTGTCTGCTTTGTTCTTCTCCTTAAAATTGATGTAAAATTGAGTTAGGCTAATCATATTTTGAAAAAGAAAGATGAATTTTATTTGGAAACAATAAACAAAAGGTTTCCGTTCGTGGATGGTTTGTTGAGCTACAGAATTTTATGAATTCTTAGCTAGCTCGTGCAACTTCTTTCAAAAAACACATCGAGCTTGGACACATCAAGGTTAGAAAACATCGAGCTTGATGAAAACATCAACAAAGATGATTTTTAGAAGGCATCGTTTTTGTGTATTAAGTGATTCATCTGTAGCAGTAAAAGCATCTTAGGCCTATATACCTAACAATTTTTTTGCGTAAAAATTATCTTCTCAACATCATGCATTAATATACCGTAAACTCGAGTGCATCGTAATGTACACACTCGTTGTTTATATAGGAATATAGTCCATAAGAATATTATGACTCAAAATCGCTGAAGTTTAAGAATAATTCAAGAATAATGCAGACTCAAGCTTCATCGGGCCTTGGAATCCTTAACACTATAAAGCGATGGTTCAAGAATAATGTTAGGCTCAAAATAAAAAATTAAGAACTTTGAGTCTCAGCAAAGAATTAGGTACTCTTATAAAAAATGTGCATCTGTTACTATATAAATCGTTTTTTGGAAGCATCAACCAAAACAAAGAAATTCTAAAGGATTTTCTACATGCTGGAAAAATTTTAAGATTTCAATTCACTGGCCTACTTTGTAAAGACAAGGGGGAGCTAAAATGTCTCTGATATGAAAAATGAAAGCAGGATTTGGTCCAGCATCGTGAGCTTTTCATTATTCTGTCAATAGTAGAATAGTTGCTATTGGAAATGAATAATCTGCAGATAAGAATTGAGCTGCCAGTCAGTAGGGAGCATCAGTGCTGAGATTATTTTCAAACAAATCACTTCAGAAACCGTGTAAATTAGGACGTGAATGCGGTGAAATAAAGTTTAAGCATTTGTAGACAACAAGGAGGCCTTGTGCTTTGGATTTGCAAAGATTTTCTTGCGAGATGCATTGCAAAGGTTGACAAAAGCATTAGCATGACCCTTAATAACTGCCTGCGGTGTTTTCAAATGAGTCTCTTCTCAAAGTGTAGGTTTTCATATAATCAGAGATCAAGGCTCCTCCCGAATATCTGCGTCTTGAGATAGATCAGAAAGCCATCGGCAACTGAACATCAACCACCATTTGCTCAAAGGATCGCTAATTGAGAGTCGTGTGATCTCTTAATTGAATTGGTTTTAAAGAGAATAGATTGACGACAATTCGCCTTTTGGAATGAGAGGTAAAATACATCCCACGCATTTGCATTGGCGTCTTTACACTCTCTCGCTTGAAGCTGGCCTCCACTTGAGACGAGCTCGCGCATGCGGAGCGCATTGGAATGACGGTGGAAGCCTACGACTAAAACAATTTTTGATGCTCACCGCCCGGGCAACAAACCTTTCGAGTGTTAGTCAAATTGAAACGTGGTTTTTCGTTATTTGTTCTATACACGCACCTGAGAAAACTCTCAAAAAGAAGAACTTGTTGTTATTTTCTATATTTCTTAAACCTTAGCTTGCTGCGAAGGACTGTAACTTAATATGGGTGATAGGCCTAAACATAAAAAGATACTACTCCTAAATCACGTATCTTCCAAAGGTTTACTCAATTCTACCTTACTTTGCGTAAACAGGGCGAAGTGGCAGTTTCTGTCGGTGATTTCATTGTTTTATAGACATCTTTTATTGAATAAGGTATCTGAACTGCTATTGCTCTTGGAGTAACCCCACTGGGTTGATGATATTGTTTCATTCTATTGCATTAATGGGAAACATTCTAACGCGATATTGTCTTGCAGCTGGACAATTTGACCAAGATCGAAACCTACAATGGTGCAATGCCCTGCTGCTCTAAAATCTTGTAGAAAATGGGTTTTTCGATAATCTGTTGAATACAATTTTATCTAATCGGGGCCCCGAATACCTCTATTCTCTGTTCGGCGGGGACGAATGAAAGTACTTTTTTATGCTCTTTAGGAAATATGTTAACGACTTCGAGGACATCATAGTGTACGACAAGCATTGTCTGGCAAAAAAGAAAGAGCCTAGGCGAGAAGCAAGAAGATCCCAAAGAGTGTCTTTCTCATTTCAGGAACATTTTTAGGATAGCTCATTCATTGTATGCAGGTGATAAAATGCTGCATTGTTTAGCAAAAACTGCCCGTTGCTGGCTCTAAATAATTTTTCTGTCATTCAAAAGTTAGCTTATAAAGAAAGCACATTGTAAAGGTCAAAGTTTTTTCAAACTCAATCATACTTGTCCGATTTTGTAAATGATAGGAATCTTTTTGGAAAGCTGCGGGTAGCAATGCAAAATAAAATTTAAACGAATAATTTTCATTATTGAATCTGCGTGGGAGTGAGATGTCAGCCCATTCAAGTCTCTTCTATCTCTTTAAAATAAAGGCTTGTCTCCTTGACTAAAGTTGTGCAACCGCAATGCTTTAATCAAGAGTTTTTCCTAAAAGCGCCTTTTGCCATTTCTTGGTAACCAGATTGGATGAATTCTATCTGTCTTCAATTTGTTGGTCGTCATCAGTAACGCTTTATGTGAACCCAGATTGTGCTTATCAGGACGTTAAACAAGTTGCCGGTTGATAAACCAGGCCGCATTTGTTTATTTTTCCCGCAGTATTGTCCTCAGCGAGACAGATTTAGGACAGCCATTTGCGGATCGATTTATCAGTTTGTCTTAACTCTATTTTACGTGTGTTCGCTCAAATTTGTCTTAATAGAATCAGGCTGCCGCTGAATAATGTTGAAGAACTTGTCTTTTGACTTCAAGCCCCACGTTTCCCAACCGTATTTAACAATCTAGAATTCATGCTACGGCATGGCAACAAGCGGTGGTGGATGAGATTTTCAGCCCAACCCATCGTGGCAGGTTGACTTGCTGTGAGTGGGAGTTTTGGGTAGAAAAAGATTACCGTGATATCTTTATAATTCCGGCGCATACCCAAATGCTTGACTCGTGGTTTTGACTTTCAGCTTTAATTACTTTAATTTCATATCAAATATAGACCTGATTGACTCTTTGACATTATTTCGATGGTTTTACTGCGTGTTCTAGGTCACCTTTGGATGCTTCAGTTTGAAAGTTTCCTCTTCACACGTTTTTTTTCTATATGAAAGTCTTTTATAAGAAAGTTGTGCTCGGTTCTCCGAAAAGTTAAGAAAGTCCAGGGCTGGATCTTTGAAACCTAAGAAACTTTAAAAATTGAGATACTCAAAAATTCAAAGGAAATTGTGGTGTAGGGGTGAAATATTTCGACAATACAGAAATGTGCTGAAAGGGAAACGACAAATACAGTATGACGTTGAGGGTTTTTGAGAAATATAGCATATTTATAGCATTTTAGCTTCTCCATCACTGCGCATGCTTAGTAACGTAAAACTTACGTTAAGAAAGGCTTAAGAAAGTTTCAGTGTTGAAATTAGGAAATAGCTAAGGAAGTCTGAGGGGTGGGTGGGCTGAAAAAACTTTCTTATAAAAACCTTGTGAATTTCACGTAAGATTGACATGCAAAAATGTATTTTTTGGTCTTGTCACCTTAACCGCTATGCCATTATGAATATTAAAAGAAGTTCCTTTCACGCCTGCTTTAATTGAACAAAAAATATAATGTGTGGTTAATGTCGTGAATTGACCGCTGTAATGCATGAAGGATTCAAACAAGACATGAGTCCTTTTGAAGTATGTGAAAATCAAACGTCTGATGAATTGCACCCCCCCCGAGACAACTTTGCTTACTTCTTATATTAACTCAACGGTATACACTGCAAACAATTTCCAAACAAGCACCAAAATAAACCAGCATTTCTTGGCATCCTTTTGTGTTCAAAATTGAAGCTTGCATTGAGCAACAATGCATCCTGGTGATCAACCATGAAAAATATTGCATCATCCCAGGAATGTCAGCAAGGCCTGTCTTTGCAGAAAATCACAAAAATCTGCTAATCCTCTATGGCTTAATAAGCAACGAGACAATCAGTTGGAATTCGGTTTTGCTATATCCTGTCGTAACTTTCAACGGGGAGCCTGTACTTCGCACTGCGACAAAATCTATTAAAATTGAAAACATTTGGAACCACATAATCATGGAAGAAACCCTAAAACCAGCGCTGTGTTACCTGTGTTGAATCTAGAATTAGACTTCTAAGAACTTTCGCAGTAGTAATTACAGCAAGAAGCGTGGTGTTTAGAGTTCATAACAAGATAGACATTTTCTTTTAGCACAACTGAACTGCTCAAAATCAATATAGCTCCCCCTAGATGAATTAAAATCAAAATTCTTCGCGCCTGTCCCGTCTGCCCCTTGTAGTTTGCTCCATCGCAGTAACTCACAACATAGCAAGGATGATCTACAACGGGTGACTCTAGTCTTTCAATGTTAACTTCGCTCTAAAATATACTGTTGAGCAATTAACGATTTTTATACTTTTTTCCTATTTTTTTGCTTTCTACAAGCATTAAACCTGGATTTCGAGAAATTGATTCTACACAAAGAGGCCTAAAGCAAAGATAAACGATAAGAAATGTAAGATAACTAAAAGCGTACACTTCGAAGAAACCATATCTCTAACCATGTACATTAAGATTCGAAAAAACGCTTTTGTGCAACAATTTCTAAATCTTGGTTGACAATGAAGCTTTTTACTTCGTCTCGCTCTTAATTCAATCACTTAGATGTCTACCTGTTATGTATTCAATCGCCCTGTGTTTTAAAAGATGTACTAAAAAAGTGGTCTTCGACTTTACAATAGGTTCATTGCTCGGATCTAGTGATTTTGAGGTTTCTTTTAGGAATATCAATTAGATATAGAATCTCTATATACAGTTGAACTGTTTTTATCTCATTGATTGAAAGGGTTTTTGAACATTTATCGTCCATTAACTTTTGAGTATTCTAAACATCAAAACTTTCTGTTGCCACCAATAGGAATCTCTGTTACCTCGGGGACTCAAAGTTTCAATACGACAAGTCTCTGTTACCACACGGCTTTAAAGTCATGTTTTATATAAACATTTGAGGTATCAATCACAAATATTTCTTAGATACAATCTAAAGGTGTGCCTAATGAACAGAAAACGGCTTATCCACGAAAACAAGATTTACTTTAGCTCTAAAGGATGCTTTATTTCCGAGTCGTGATTAATGGCTAACTCAAACTTTGCCATGCAGGAAAATAGTTTCTTTAAAGCCACTCCTTTTAAGAGATTTTATCTCGGCGCTAATTACCAAGATATTAACTGCTTGCCTTTTCCGTTCATGCAATATATTCGCATTTCAAATTTCAATAACTCCTTAGATACATGGCAATGCCTTTTTCTAAACCAAAATTCCAAAACAATTCTTTTTAAGCCATCTCCTGCCTTTTGATTCGATTAGCATAATTCATTTTCAATAAGGAAGAAATTTATTACGATTTGTAGGGACTTTCACTGAGAGAAATCTTCGATTTTTATCTGCTCTGTTCTGCTCATTGTTGCCCCCATACTGCGGAAAGGACGCATAATTAGTTTTCCTGGAATTAGTTTTAGCATTCATGTTTGTACTGACAGAGTCCTGTTGCACGTCATCTAAAGGCGTTAAGCCGGTATCACAATTCCAGGGTTGCAGCTGAAAATCTTTTTCTTAAACGAAAAGGTCTACAACAGGTCTTTAAAAAAATGAAAATATATTCATTATGGATGAATCTTTGCATACCTTTCACCTTGTTAGAGAACTTGGAGAGAACTCGAGTTCAGCAGCCTGATGATTTTCAAGCTTAATGAAAGTACTGTAATAAAAATTACTTAGAACACCATCCGATAATGGAAGAAATTTAATCACTTTTAATGGAGAAGCTCATTTTTCAGTTCGTTGTTAGATTTCACAAAATAATTCATAATTTACGGCCACCATTCATTCATTTGATCTCCATTGACAAATTAGCCATAGCTCTTGGTAGCTCATTCTTGAAAGGAAATTCCACCATTAAATCCACCAACATTTTATTCAGATAACCTATGCTGTTACTAGCTTAGCCTTAAATTATAGATTATGCCTGTATTAAGTCACCAAAAGCTAATCAAGGAGCTTTTAAGAGTTCCATAACTTTGTCTTACCAGGGTCCTAAACTAACTCCTTAGATTAACCATTTTTATTGTCTCTCAATCTTGTAGATGGAAACTCGGCGCGCCGAACTTGGAAACAAAGACTCTTTCTTGGTCGAAAAGACAAAGGTTCGTAATTATTTCTTTTCGCATTCCTACTTCTTCCCAAACTATTGCCACTTTTCATTGCACTAAATTAAATTGTTCTCCGAAGAAAATAAACATCCATATTCGCATTATATATCAATATCAACTATGCTCGGCTGTTTATCCGAACTGATTATATTGATAATTATTCTTTGAATAATGATCATATATAGACATAGATCTTAAAATTACAGCTGATAGAACACTGGGTTCCTAGTGGAGCAGAATCTCAACTATCTTCCCCTGTATCTGATTTGAAGTATCTATGTGGGTCTCTCTGGTCGATAAATGTGATCCAACTACTCGCCCTTAGTTTAACTTCTAATTTTGATAATAGATCAATCAATGACTAACTAAAGCCATTATTGTCTTGTTTTATTATTTTCAAAAGAAGATGCAAAAGAAGATGCAAGAAGATAATCTTTAATGGCAGGTTAATTATACTACAGTGAATTGATATCCTGAGCAACGATATCCCTTTTAACTACAATGCCCTCTTGTTAATACCGAGAGGATATCAAGACGTCGTTTGTTGAATTAAAAATTTGCAGCCAAAGCTAATATCAAATCCGATTACACGAGGCTGCACGACCTTGCATCCGTAAAAGCAACTAATTATGTTTTCTGTTGAAGTGTGTGCAGAATGATAAAGTTGTACCCACTGCGATTTTTATCAAAACATACAAGAAATGAAGGTATCAAATGCCAGAAACAATAATTCTCTTTGATCTTCAAAGATCTTTTTGATTGTTTCGTTGCTAATAGATTATGGATTCAATACAAAAGTACCATAAATTAAATCTTGAATAAGATTTCACCTCGCATGCCACACTAGCAATAAAATTGCATAGGACAACAGTATTTTCACAACATTAGGAGTATTTATACTCTCTCAATTCTTAAATCCTAAATCAAGAAAAAAGTATTTCTTAAGAACTGAAAAGTAAACGAATATTTAAATCTCCTTCTTTAGCAACTGTCTCTCCTAATGAACTTTGCGTACTGCCGTTACGTTAAAGTTCGTGTGTTATTTGTAACTTGCAAGAAAAGTTATTTGTGACTTTTCTTGTTTTAGATGCAAAAGAGCAAAGGACGCACTTTGGGATTCCCATCGCTCAGGTTATTGCAAATGATGCTGAGGCAGCCGAGGAATTGTCCAGTCGAAGTGATACAACAAGCACAGGTCGACGCTCCATTGTTCGCCAGGAAGAAATCACAAAGGAAGATCCTGACTCTTTGAGCTTCAACGAAGATGATTTAAATACCAGAAGAAGCAGTTTGCCAAATTCGTATGCACCTCTTCTCAGATCAAATAGCTTTGATTTAGAAGAGGATAATGGGCTAGATCTTTTGAACGCAGATAATCTGCAAGAATGTCATGAGAGAACCACTACAATTTTACGCCGTGAAAGCCAAAGGAGGCGGCAGGCAAATAATCACCGGAGATCGCGGTTATTGGACGCGTTAACTTTGTCGTCATCATCTGCGTCTTACATCAGTATAATTGACAGGGATGATGAACTGAAGCCACCAGGGCCACAAGTTCCTAAAATCGTTCTAATTCTAATCGAATACATAGAACAGCATGGGCTTAGCGTTCTGGGCATTTTTAGAACGGGAGGCCTGCGGAAAAGAGTTAGACATGTAAGTTTTATTCACTTATTTTTTCAATGACTTCCTTTTCAGTTAAAAATCAATGTATTCACTCATTTTTTCAATGACATACTTTTCAGTTGAAAATCAATGTACACCTCCTGCTTGAATAAATTTGAATTTAATTGAAATGTTGGAAGGGTGCAGAATTTAACTGAATACAAAACACAACTTTTTTTGAAATATTAAATGTTTTCTATATAATGTAAACGATCACAGTCTTCTTGCTGTTCTTTGAAATTTTTTTGAAAGTTTAATCGTCATTATTTCTAAGTGAAAGTCACTAGTATTTTGCTTTTTAATACTCGATGTGCTATCGTGGTTGTTTTAATTGTGTTTCTTTCAGATACAAAAGTTTCATTTAGGTATTGTAAACTCTCAGTCAAAAAAATCTGTTTCTGAAGATCAATACGCACAAAGAAATGTGTTGATTTGTTTATACTTTGTGACATTAGAGTGAAGTTTAGTCGTAATTACTGAATGAGTCACGGCGACACTGAGTAAAGATGACTTTGGTTTTGAAAGGAATTTCTAGGAAATTTATGATTTTTCTTGCTTTTTTACGTAACTATCAAAGAAAGCAATGGACAGTATATGACTATATGTATTTTCGTCACTGCCGTCCACTGAATATTGATGACGAGATCTGAAAAAGTTTATCTTTTCGTTTAGATGAGAGAAGAGCTTGAAAGAGGAAATATTTCGATTATACACTCAGAAGAAACCAATCCACAAGACGTAGCTGCATTATTCAAGGAATTTTTCAGAGATCTCCCAGATCCACTGCTTACTAGGGAACTTTATACACCATTTCTCGCTACTCGAAGTAAGGAAGTTGCCTGTTTCTTGATAATTACTATTAGGCTACTGTGAAGATTTTATTGGAGCTGAGCAAATTCTTGATGACAGGCTCAGCTGAATAGATTGACATTGAATAAGAAATTGATTCACATTGAATAGATCATGAACGTGTAGATAGCATAGAACAATTAATTACCTGGGTTATAGATTTTCACGTTGGAAAACACACGTAGCTATATTCTCAAACTGGCTAAACAACTGCAATCTTTACTTACAATATCTCTAATTAGACTTTTTGGATGATTTTAGCATAAAAACATTTGTTGGTAATTTTCTATGATTTTAAACAAAATCCTTTCTGAGATATTCTAAGACTACTGTATGGAACTATCTTAACCTTAACCAATGGGACCACTGTTTAAGCATGAAACCAGTGGTTCACAAGCATGTCTTTACAAAGCTTTTCACCTTGTTTACAATTTGCTTTTTCTAGAATTAACTGATCCACAACAACGACAGGCCGCACTCCAGCTACTAACAGGGTTACTTCCAGTTCCAAATAGAGACACTCTTAAAGCTTTGTTGTCATGTTTATCCAAAGTTGCAGCACATTCCCAAGACTACGTGGATGCTGATGGCAATACGGTAGCTGCATAATTTATTTTACCTATAATTTATCATTAAATTGCATAATATATTATTATTCATTTTACCTATATATTTGCATTGAAATTTTTTCAATGCTTAGTAATTTAAAACAGTTGCGTATTAAGGGAATTCCTGTTTGTGAAAGAGAATTTTTTAACACGTGCCTTAAATTTCTGTTTTTTACAACAAAAATGATCGTGAAAGATCAATTGGTTCTAATCACCATTCAAAAAATTGAACGTGAAAGCCCAAATGAAAATTGCTTTCTTTAAAACAAGCTTTTTTCAAACTTGGCTGACATAAGAAGGATACATCTAATTGAGGCATACTTCTAACTGTTTTTTTGCTTGGGTACAAAGATTTATCAATTCATAGCTAATCAGATAAATTAACTAGAATCCATTTCCTTTTTTTTGAAAATCAGGGCCTGGAACATTTATTGAAGAATCGATTTTCCTTTCTTTTTACTCACCTTTTACACTTTATTTACTTAGATATAAAGTGGATGTATTAAGAGTGTGGTAATATAATTGATTCAACTTTAAAAAACTGTCACTTAGCGGTCAAATAATCTGTGAGTGCATTAATCATATATCCCAAATGCATACTACAGCAATTATTAGTTTCACTAGTGCAGAAAACGTTGAATCATAAACGTACACAGTTTCCTGAAAAGTTGAATTCATCGATCGCTCTAACTTGCTATCCTTTTGAATAATGTATTAATGCCTATTATCTTAAATTTCAGATACCTGGAAATAAAATGGATTCTAGGAATTTAGCCACTTTGATTGGCCCTAATATACTTCATCGGGTAAGTTTGAGTATCTCGTTTCAATTTCCTTTATTAGAAACAGATGGTGATAAGTATTCGAGATATGAACTAGCTTTCTCATTTATTAGTATGCGACTTGTGGAAAGTTATTCGATTATTTCTCTATCTGATAATGTTTAGATTGCTATTTTGATCAGTTATGTAGAGTAACCCCCCCCCCCCGTGTTTAGTTTGATTTAGTAAAGTTAATATCCGCTTCTTATATACATCCACGTTGAATATTACAGTAACTAACAGTTATGTTAATCAGACTCGAAGTTGGTAAAAGCTTGAAGCATTTTTCTGGATGCATTTAAAATGATTTTTCATTGATCAAAGGTTGCTAATTTCATTGTATGTTGGCTTCTGAATTTTTATTGAAAAATTCGTTGTTTATATTGAAAATAATAAGCTGCATTACACGTCAGAAGCTGCAAAGCGTGTCTTAAGTTAATTAACATTGCCATTTGATTTGTAGGCGGTTCTGGCCTTATTAGAGCAAATATCGAATAGTGACGTCAATGAAAATTTTCACTGTCTCGACAGCAAGCATTAATATTTGCTTTTTAGAGTTTTGGGGAATAGCGGAACTTGATATCCCTTTGTTACCAGCGATGTTATTCTAATCCGACAGTTATATAACAAGACAATAATTATAGCATCATAAATTGACGAGGCTAATAATCATTATGTTAAAAATCAATAACGATAAAGAGGCCTTTAATTTTGTTTGCCTATCATTTTCTGTTTGAAAGCAGGAAATAAATGAGAAATAGTTACAAATGACTAGTCTTTTCGTGTTTTGCCTGGAGTCAGAAAGATTGGCTTACTCAATTTTGCTGTCACTTTAAATTGGTTATGTCCACCAGTAATAGCTTTCGCAGTTGCACCATGTCTTCTTATATCCTACCCATCATTCCTTTAATCTGATAAGCATTAGTGCGATGGATATCATTACTATTCTATAATCAGTTCATTCCAGGTAATGAATTCAGTCCAGCTTATTCAACTTTAGTGAAAAGACGTTTCTTAAGATACAAGCATATTGTTCCATATTAACTCATTCTGTCTTCTGTCGTTGTAAATAACCCTTACCCTTCTTCAGAAGCAGTCCTTTTTCTCTAAACTGAGATTTCCTTGTGAATTTGAAAGTATTGAAACTTTTGCACCTACCCAGAATTGCTTTTTGTTTGGCATTTTTGTCAGTTGATAGGTATGCTACTTTCATAAACATTGCGGGGGTGGCGGAGGGATAGAGTACCATGTAATATCTTTATAAAAGAAAATTATTTGCTAATTGTCTATAGGACTTCTATTAAACATCAATTTTTGTCAACTTTCCTGCTATTATTTTTTTTTTGGAAATCTCTCTCTGTTTATTTGATTGTTTGCATGTGTATTCAAACCTTTATTATTGCAAGATTACAATATAAATTTCAATTTGAGAACATCTTTTTACAGAAATACGTTTGCTAACACAGAGCTGGAGATTATTTGTAAAGCCAGGAGGATGCTAGTCCTTTCTCCTTGAATTATAATATCTTCGCCTAAAAAATACGACACCGAGCGTGATTTATAAATACTGCAAAATTTGGGGCTTCAGTAACTTGATATGAGCATAAACAAGATAAAATAAGAGAACATATTATTTTATCTTGGCATGAATTATAAGCAGATGAATGAATAATTGACGAGTAACTGCACATTTAATAGCGATATTTTTTTGAAAGCAAAAATAAAGGAAAACAGAGCAAGGCCCATAATCTTCATTGCGATTTCATTGAAGTTTGAATCCATATTATCCATATTATTGCTAATTAAATTGCATTTTGCTTTTCAATTTAGAAGTTAATTTTATCTAGAAGTCCTATCAGACATTTAAACGAGCTTCCACTCTCTAGGTGAAAGCCAATTCATCAATGCAGACTTTCAGCCCGGAGGAGTCGTTACGTTTCGCAGAGGAGAACAACAAGATGATAGATGTTGTGAAAGATATGATTGAGAACCATGACACACTTTTCCAGGTCTGTATATCCTCTATGTTTGCATTTAACATTCTGTTATATTCAAGACTGCTTACCACGCCCCCACATACTTTTAACGTATGACTTATAACCGCAGGTTATGTTTATGTTCATGGATCGAGTTCGGTTGTCAAGCAAAGCGGGATTAAATTATTATGCTATGTGGTATTCTTTCTTTGTAGAATTTTGTTAACATAGTCTTATTGCTACTCGTGTACCAATGCTGTTTTATTTTTTTCTATTTTTATGTCTCAACATCGCATGTTCGTAATAAACTGTCTTGCCAAATCATTTTAAGCAATCTAACTTTAGAAGAGATTCAACTTAAGGAAGACGTTTGATGAGGGCGAGGAATGGATAGTACAATCGAACGGGTTTATATTGTTTGCATAGCGAGTTATATCATTATGAAAATAGTTATGTTAATCATAGTGAATTCCTTCATTTGTTGTGTAAAGTCTTTTGAAATGCCTTCAAAAGAACACTCAGGTTAGAAAGGACAGTCTCATAGTTTCTAAACATTTTCAAGGAGTTCAGTGTTGATATTTTACCATAAATTACCATATATTACCATAAATTGCCATAAATTGCCATAAATTACCATATATTATCATATATTACCATATATTACCATATATTACCATAAATTACCATAAATTACCATATATTACCATATATTATCATATATTATCATATATTACCATATATTGCCATATATTAGTATTGATGTAAGATATATGCTTTTCATTCTGGCAGGTTTCTGCTCAGTTGCACGATGAAGTTCTCAAAATGCTTCTTGATACAGAGCCAGAAACTGTGGATTACGTCCTGAGGAAGAAAGCGTCTAGAGTCAGTCAAATCGAGTATGTAAACTGTGCTTTTGCTTTCCAAGAATACTCATCATGTTTGATACTGACAACGACTAGCTAGGTGAAGCCAGACACCCTCCCTGTGCCTCGATTATTTGCATTCATTAACATATAATCTTTGTTATAGAGTAGTGAAAAGAAAATGTCCATGGACAACGGACATGGAAGCACTATTTGAAAGATTGTTATCTGGGAAAAAAGTTAAAAATGCTTTTTATGAATTTTGGCTGGCTAAACACAAAATTTCAGGCTTGTCTTTCCCTAAAATCCAGAGCTGAGTGTTAGAATGTCGTGGAATACTTCAGGACATCTTACCTTCAGGGCATCTAAATTTTTTCTCAGTTTGTTGACACATTTCTCACAAGATAGAACCTCGCAACATTTAGCTAACACTGAAAAATCAGGGCCTCCGACATCATGGGGTCGGGGGCATGGCTCCCAACTTTTTTGCAAAGCAATAGGGATTTTTAGAAAAACATATTGCTATTGATATCTTCCCAACCTGCGGGGAGCCCTTAAAAATTGTTTGACTCTAGCATGTAACTAACCAATCCTAATTTGACCTAGAAACATCAAATTAATGTAGAGTAGACTTTGGTTATAGTCAAACCCAAAAATGTTTGAAAAATGTGACTGTAAACGGATATACATTGAACCATTTTACATATTTCGTCCTAAACTTTTTGTGACTGTGGGCAGCAGTGTGACTTTAAACGTCGACTGTAGCGTCCTTTGAAGCCTGCAATTTTTCAAATTGACATGTTCAACATGGCTAATGGGTCAAGTAAAGCAATTATGAACCATCAATGGCAGAATTTAAGAAGAATACAAACAGTGATAATTCTAACTAATAACTGAATCTACTAGCCTTTCTCTTGGCGTAACCGCGCTCTTCCAGTGTGTGGAATTCATGCTTGTAATCAGAACATTTTCATTATACTTATTACCGTTTTTCCTTTACATTTTTACTAGAATTCAAACCCTCTTTTGTACCATCCTCAGTTATCCTCTATGTCTCTTTTGTCTAATACATCGAATTTAGAAAATGCATGCCTTTAAGCAATCTATTTCATGGTTCTTCAATGATTATCGAAACAGATTTCACAATGAGATTCCATCACAATAGATTAAACATAAGCACCTAATACATTTAGCACAACCCTTCCTGCGCTTTGCTTTAAATATTTCAAAGATTTTGATATGAGACTTATATAGGATTTCCATCACATGTTCGTAATTAAGGTGTTAGGGGAACCTGATTACTGACATACCATTCGTATTCGTGGGATAAATAAAGGCATTTTTCAACCTTGTTAACATAAAACTATTTTAGATCCAGGAATACCACTCTGTAAAGCTGGGAAAGTGTGCTCTGAATTTGAATAGAAAAACACGCAAACCACTGCCTTTCCTGTGATAATCTCCTTTTTGAATTTCCTCGATATTAACACCCTAAAAACGAACGGAATATATAGATTTTCCAGCCTGATGATCGCATTAAGCACAAATCTAAAATATGCAGCTTCGGACCATTCCGTTCTATGCACAAAATCGTGTTCAGCTAGGCCTATTCGGCATTCAATAATAAATGACAGGCTGGTTAAACAGTATTTTGCATTAGACTCTTCAGGCGATAAAAGAAATAAACTGCTTTTTTAGTTCTTATAGATAGTCTTTACAGCTTTCATTTAATTCCAGAGTTGTGTTCTTGACTTAAACATTATTTAAGTTATCATTATTAATACATTTTCAGATTATGTTGGGGTTAATTGTGTTACGATGCCGCGGCAAAAATTTGATTTTATAGGTAACACCGTATGTGAAGAATTTGGAAAAGCAATTGTTAAAACTCATAAAAGAATTAAGTTGTATGGAAAGTTATAACGATAAGGGTGATTTTTTTATGTGCCCTGTTGTTGATGATATTCAACCAACATTTAATTTTTCATTTTAGATTTCCCGACGACATTCAAGAAGAACTCAGCAAAGTTCCCGAGAATGCCCACGCACACCCCAAACGTTCTATGACATTGGGCTCAACACCACGCCCTAAAATTAATTCGCGATATAGCGATGAAGGCTCGTACATACGAGACTCACTGCGAATCAAAACGAGCCCGCAAAGTACGACACGTTTACGGAAAACAAGCACTCCTGATCGACCAGGATCTACTCGATCTGTCCTTTCGACGACGTCAGAACCCGATCGATTTAGTTATAGGAAATCAAACTCAAGTTTTCAGTCAGCTGCGTCTTCGAATCGTAGAAGCCAGTCTGAGTCAGCAGATATCCCGGAAGATGAGATCGCGAGTCTGGCAGTAAACCGCGCCAGTTACCGAGACAGCGGCCTAAGCATGGGGAGAAATAGCCAACGTTTTTCTGGTGTGGAAGAAACTCGGCGGAAAATAAACGCACTTGAAACTGTACCGTCGCCGACGTTATCAGGCTCTGGCTTTCCATCAAAATCGTCAACTCCTTACTCGTCGCCCTCTGGAACGCCAATATTAGAGAGGGTTGAGAAAGTTGAACAATCGCAAGTGAAATTAAGAGACCGTGAATCTCGTGAGTCTAGGGACTCCGCTTATGCTAGCGGACGTTTTCAGCGTAAAGGCGGCTTACCGCATCATGGATTACAGGGTATTTTCTCACTTGGGGAAGAGGATTTGTCCCCTGATGCGTCACAATGTTCTCCTACATCGCCAGTATTTTTGTCTGAAATCTTAAACGAGCCAGCTTTCAATAATAACTTTAAGAAAGGTAGTTCAGAGTCACGGAAGATTTCATTACCTGCAAAAATGATTACAGATTTAAAAGAAAAAGAAAATCAGGATAGACATTCGTTGCCACGATCGATAAGCGAAGTTGCAGAAAGTAAACAGCGGAAATTACTGCTTACTTGGGAAGAGGCAACTTGGCCTCACTGGGACCCAAATGCTACGGAACAGGAAATGCCTGACCACGAAACAATACTGTAGGGAATGAAAGGGGAAAACATGACTTTAGAAGGCATGTACTCACATACGCCGGTCCTTACATACGCCGGTGCTCACATACGCCGATCCTCACATACGCCGGTTCTCACATACTCCGGTCCTCACACACGGCGATCCGACAGTCGCTAATTTAACTTCGCAGGTATAAAACCAAGAATTAGGGCCTCTAAAGCCTCGGCGGGTATTGTTTAACATAAAGAAACCGGGATTCGTTGCGTTAATTTTTGCAAGCGGTTATATTTTAAGATGATTCAGAAGTTTTTAAGGTGATTCAGAAGTTTTAAGGTGGTTCAGTTTAAGGGAGCAAACTTGGTATCATGCAAGGTTTGAGGGAATTGAGCGAGGTCCTGAGACACATTGCTGTTCAAATCTTTTTAGATGTTATGCGGAGGAGCGTCAAAATCCGAACAATGTCAAACACAAACATTAATTTCCATTGGCACTCCGAAAGTTTTCTTATTGTAGTGCCAATAGTTAGTGCGGGCTTGCACAATCCCATTCAATGTAAAAAATTATTTTTAAGTTAACTACTATCTTAAGTGAATAAATATATAAATATATATAGCATTTACTATGTATGTTTAAGTGCCTCGTCGAAGAGGGTTTTTCTAGAATAGTCATTAGAGTAAACAGCACGATTAGAGTTAGTCTAGGCGATTCTTATAACATATTAAAGATCAAAAAGCAATGTTTCTGTTTGTAATAACTAATGTTTTCCCTTCCTTTTCTTAGCCATAGTAAATTGTAAAACATAACAAGGAAATGTTCATTTTTTTGCTGGCATAGAATAAAACGTTCACATCTTCAAAGGATCGCCATCACAAATTATAGTGATTGATAAAGCCAGTAAAATGCAATAACCATTTTAGGCTTTTTCTGTAATCCCATAAAGTCTTTTAACAATATCAATTGCTAGAAGGAAACTGTTAAGCAAAACCTTACAATAATGCACGCTTTCGTTTTAATTCAAAGATATCAATCGAGCGAACTTGACATTTATTATAAGGTAGTCAACGATTCTTTGACATAATGCAGTAGGCCTATTTTAAAGATTTAAACACATTAAAGGTAATATTAAAGTCTTCTGTGTAACTTTAAATGTAAAACCAGGCATCAACGTTGCTTGCCTAATGTATTTTAAACTGGCATGTGTGTTATGAAAATTGTAGAAAAAACTTTTGCGATTGTTCTCCTTGAATTTGTTTAAATTTGCAAAAATTTCCATACTGTGTATGAGAACTTGGAAGAATGACGGTTTGAGCGGATTTTATTGCATCGCTCAAAAATTTGTCAAAATTTTTGTCGTTTCTTACATGTGTTATCTAGAAATAGCAAATTGTAAATAAAAACTTTTTTGCATATTTGACTAACTAACTTAGTTTTTGCTCTTTAAAAAGCATTGGTTGCGTAGCCTTCGTTTTGCGCGCGGTGAAAACTGAAACCTGGAGAAGATCCTGGCACGTTGCAGACAAGCACTTTGTGGCCAAGGCATTGTAAACTACCCCTTTTCTTTAGATGTATCCAATTGTAGATCGGTTGTAGATGACCAGTTGCCGCATTTCTAGGACTCCATTTGCCAATTATTTCCTCAGGATAGGGAATCCCCCGTACAAAGACGCGTTTGTAGTAAAAATCCACAAATTCAACGAAGACCAATGGAACTAGAAAACCCTTCTTTCGACAACTGAGAGAAAAACGTAAAAGCCAAAAATTTATACTAAACCATGTCTGCCGGCTTATTTCCTTGATAGGAAAGTTTTGATAACACCCGTACTATTTTCCATCACACTTAGTTATCTTTTGTCCAGATTTCTGATTAATTACCACTTTATAAAATAGGATTGGTCAAAATTGTTTGATGTTGCATTTATTATTGACTTTGAAAAAATATTTTTCACTATTGTTGCAAGCATTTTTTAATTTTTTCGTGTATTTTTAGATATAAGAAAATAACTTCTTCCAATTCCACTGTAGAAATATTGTCTTAAATTAATTTGAATTTGTTTGTATTTTGATAAAGACATGAAATAGAAACATAAGCAAATTGTAGTTTTGAAGAGTGCATTGTCGTTATAAAAAACTTTCATTTCTTTTTACACATTCACCCTTGGGTATATTTTGTAAGTAAATTAATTGAAATGAGCGTTTCTTTGCTTCACATCTACATATAATTGGACAGTTTAAGTTTTAAAGTGCCACTGAAATAAAAAACCAAACTTTTATATTGATGTGCCTGTCAAGTCAATGCTCCCGAATCTGTGTTAGCAGCATTGTTTGATTATTGTATCCTGCTCGACCTCTGGCACCGAAAGATGTCAAAAATTAGAGATCTTCTTCAGCTTTTGTTCATAGCCTCTCTTTTTCAGCTTATCAAGTAGCTTATTCTACAAAGTTTTATACTGGTATCACAATTTACGTGCAATAATCTCAATAACTTGCTTGGAGGTCTAGAACCTGGTACCCTTGTCTATAAATAGAATAAGGGGGAAAATTCACCGTCTTTCACAACTCTTTCGGCGTATCAAACTGTCATCTCTATCAAGTTTCATGCTTATATCACGTTTTTCACAATTTGTAAGCTATTTGTTCTAAAAGCCCGTACTATGGCTGAATTGACTCTGTAAGTCGTAATATGTCACTCGTTCAAACTCTTTTCTCACGACCTACCCGCAAAAAGCCTAAAAATTTCTAATCATAACCTTAAATGAAAAACCAATGTTGTTTCCGAAATCAACAATATTGAGTCAGAATCAACAAAAAACATTTTCGATTTTTTTTTCATTTCAGTGGCATTTTAGACATTTGAGTCATTCAAAGTTAACAGAAGTCAGGACATTTATGAATGGGCAATGGACAATTTTTCTAGAAATAAATACTTCAAGTTATTACTTGTAGCAAACTAGCTATTTCAGCTGAAATTGCAATTGTCAATATAAATTCATTCCAGATAAGTGGAAAATACAAACCGATAGAGAAAATAATAAGATTTTCAGTTTGATAACAGCAGTAAACGATAACTAAAGAAAGTATTTGGTGCAAAAGCATAATATTTTAAGTTAGTTACTAAGAAGAATGAATTAAGCAAGATGATCATCATAATGTACAAATATTATAGCAAATTTTTTGACATAACATTTACACTGCTGATTTTTTTGTAAAACTAAAAAGCTTCATGTAACCAGCAGCGTGAGTGTGTGATTCATGTCTTGAAATAACCTTACGTGCTGAGAAGTTCAAAAATGCAGTTGTAACATTTTTCTTACAGTAGTTGAACTGTTTTCGCCAACCAAAACCTGAATATTTCTACTGCTTCTACTCTTTCCATCTGCTTATTTTCTATCGTAAGACATTAGAGGTGGCTCCGATTGAAAGCTCTCCTAGAAAAACTTGAATTCCAACGTCCCTTTGGAATCTAGGATACTCTTTTGTGATTTTGAAAAATTTTGTTAAACCCCCTTTAAATATTTTATCGCAAAAATGAGGAATCGTTGCCATCTAGGGGTGCTGTCGGCAAATATTGAATGTCTCATTTACTTTATTAACAAATGAGGCCTGGAAAGCCCCAAAAGCACGCCAGCTAGCAATTGAACTGCTTTCACCCTAATGATTTAAGAACAACTTAAGAAAAATCTAGCCACAAAATTTCCCTTTACGGGTTCCAAGTAAATTAGGGTTACATCTGGAAGGTTGGGTGGGTAATGAGCCTTTACCAACTATAGGCTTGAAGAAGATGTGAATGGTTTGAAAAAGAGCAGACGTAGAATCTTATAGTCTGAGTATATACCTAAAGACAAATTATGCCTCGTTTTGCCATATTAAGCCAACTGATTGATACGTAAGTTAATACACGGGTCTCAATCAATCAATCAATCAAAGTGACGTCACAATCACATAGCGTAACATCCAGCAAATAAATTTTGAGCAATCAGTGTTTCAGTATCATTTTGATCGTAGTCCTACGTCGTACGTAAGGCCTATTTTCAGAGAAACAAAATTTACTAAGGTAATTTACAGAGAGATAATCATGTTTGGGAAGATCGTTTTTCACAGAAGCGGATCTACTGACTTTGAAGATAGTGGATCGAGGCGCTCCTCCATTGGATTGGCTAGAAGCCTTTTTAACGGAATGTTCAGCATTTGCATGAACCAAGTCGACAGGAATGTAGTGCAACCTCTTGTGTCTACGACTGAAGAAGAAGTACAACAAGAAGTTGTGAATGTTGAAGCACAGTGTGGCAAAGATGATACTGCAAGCCCAAAATCTTCTAATGAATTCAGGATTTCAACGATAGACACGGCACAAGAAAAAAGCAATTGCGACGAAGACAGAAGCAAGAACATGATGAGCAAACCTTCAAACCAAGCTCATGGTATGCCGGAAGGTAGGTTTGAGGCAATGCCTTTGCCATTTTTCACAATGTCTATGAGATGCTTAAAATGTCTTTTAAACAAATAGTCCTGCTTTTGAACAATGCTTTGCTTTTGAACAATGCCTTCTTCTTGCCATCAAATGTTTCTAAGCGATCCTCTTCATTTTTAGATTCCTGTTCTGTTGGGAAGAAAATTCCAATGAACAACCGGTCGTCATCTGGCATATTTTGCTTGGATTCAGCTTCTGGAAGCTGTCAAGACACAAATCTATCGTCAAGCCATCAAAGTGCTGATGACGATGAAAGTTACTTCACAGATGATACTGAAGAAACTGAATCTAGCGAACTTGATTCGCAGTCTGATTCAACTGACACATCAGACAGTGAAACAGAAAGCGATCAACACGCATCGTCATCTGAGACTCCAGAATCTGTTGCTGAACACACATCAGAAGAGACAGAAGTCGCTAAAGCAAAGCAGATAGACATATTTGCTGGCGAAACCACTGAAGAAACAGAATCCGAGCCAATGCCTCTGTTTGATCCTATTGTCGACGAAGAAGAATCTGTTCAGAAACTCCACGATTATTTTCAAGTCCAAAAGCTAAATATCAACGGTTTATACAAGCCGGGTCCAATTGGATCATATGAGGTTTCTTCAGAAATCAAGGAACATATTGATAAAGCCGTTGGAGAAAATGAAGATACCGGTGTTAGTACTTTAGCAGATGCCTCTTATCACTTATTACCTGAAGAAGATAGAGTATACAACAATGCAGCTGGCACAAATCAAAGCGGGTATGGCTTCCTCCCAATTCAATGGGAACAATACGATGAAGAGGTAGAAAAAGATGAAGAGGAGTACACAGAAAAAAGAACATTGAGCACGTATGACAAATATTCACAGGGTCAGCTGTATTTCAATCCTACGCCAATGGACGATATATTGGAAGAGAGTAATATTGACGTCACTGATTCTAAATCCTGCTGGGTTTTCAGAAACATTGCTAGTGAGTACAACGCTGACACACTCTCTGCCATCGTTCCATTTGCAAATGAAATGAAACAGGAAGAAAGAGAAGAATACGGGCTAAAAGGTAACAGTATTTTCATTGCTCCCTTACTAGCTTTGCTCGTATTAAAGAAGCATATTCTTACTTATTGTCCTTGTTCGAATTCAAAGAGAGTTTCAAAGAGAAATTATGGGAGTTTCAGAGTCACAGTCATGTATAAACTTGAAAAATAAGCGTCGAACGGATATCTGTTTTTGTAAATTCCATGTGCATAAAAACATTTGTGTTAACAAAACCAATCATCATCCAAGGGATGATTGAAGCTTTGTTTGTACTTTTATTTCAGTCGATTTACTCTATTTCTTCAGCATATAGCTTGAGTTCAAGATCTCGTAATCCTATGTAAAGGGGGCAAACAGTAATTTTCATTAACTTACGCCTATCAAAAGCTTATTTGGCTTTTTGCTGTGGCCACTAGTTGCAGTACCTAACTATATGGCATTGTAGATTCACGTTTTTTTCTTTGTTTCAATGCTTTGATGAGTTGATATCCTTTCATTCAGTTGTTGCAGCGACAAATATTAATGGCACTGTAGACTGAAATTAATTCTATACGATGATGTAATGATAAATCAATTTTTTTCATTCAGACTCCAAACCACTAAAGCGAAAGATCAAGGAAAGGTTTGCAAAGCTCAAAAGATACTTTACAAGGAAGAGCAGAAAAGTAGCTCCTGAGCCTGAAGAGCCGGAAGACTCAGAGGAACCTGAAATGTTCTTGTTGAGATTTAATGGCGAATGGAACTACTGTTATGAGGATAAAGTCCTAGACGAGGAAACAGGAGATGCGTGTATCGTTTCTATTGGACAATACGAATATCCGGACCATGATCACGTATGTGCATTTACTTACATTCGTGTTCTCACAGTGTCAATCATATTTTCCACTATCTTCATTATTCTTTAAATTGAAATGGAATTCTTTCTTTTCTACGGTCCAAAGAAAACATTTTCAGCACTCGTTTTTGTCTGGTGCTTAAGAACGTTGAAGAATTATTGGTCAACATAAGCGGTTTTCTTTTTGAGAATGTGGTACCATACCGTAACTGTACTTAGTCAGAATTAAACAAAGTTGACAGAAAGTCTCATTCATATGAGACTGATTGAATCGTTTATGCACTTTAACCTTTCACCCAGTTCAATTCATGTGAGAGATGTAAGGATTGATGCAAAAGCATTTAAGAAATAATTGGAATACTGATTCATGAAACCTTTCTTTAAAATTCAGATTTGAATATGTTTCAATTCTGTCATTTCTCCAATTCATCATCTCTTATAATCTAAAAAAATTATTACCTTTTAGGTTCGCAAAAGAGTTGTAATGGACCCAAAACTGGGCACCATCATAGAAGAGGATGATGATGATGAATTCATTGTTCACTAGTTCACCCTCATCGTTCTTCTAAGGTTGGTAGCCCAATTTCTTCATTTATTCAAAAGGGGAAGCTATCATAGTTGTTGTTTGGTTGTTCATGTCAGATATGTTGCAAGCAGTGTAAAAGTTAGGCCCCTTAGTAAAACAAATTATTTTTTACTACATTCAAACTTGAAGAAATCATTTTTTAAAGAGACAAAGCGCCTATTTGCTTTTGCAACCCCGTCATGTCTATATGTAATACATATTAGGATGGAAAAATTGATATTTCAGTTTAAAGGGGCGAATCTTTAGCTTTGAAAATATCTCGTACCTGAAACC